TCCTTTTCATGTAATGAGCATAACCTATAAATATTAATTAAAGTGGCAGCGGCAGAACATTAAACTTCTGCTCCTCCTTTCAACTCTTGTGTTCTACTGCTTCTCCTCCCTCTTCCTCCTCTCTTCTCTTTACCTTTCTTCTTATTTTCGAACCTGAAATCCATTAGGGTTCAAGACTGATAACAGTCCTGAACTTCTACTAATTCCATATGTTTTATTTTATGTTTGGCAATGCTGCATATATTTTTGTTCGAGGGCTTTGGAACAATCTCATTTACCATTCATAATTATTTTATAGTGTACAATGAGAAGCTGTACAAAATGGACCTCAAAAAAAGGCCATCCTCAAAAAAGTATAATCAGAAATACCATCTCTAAAATCAGTATGTATAGACATCCAACTTCTCAAAACCTCTACTGCCATGTTAATGACCTCGGCTTCAGTAGTAGATTTTTTCTCAAAAATCCTATTGTTCCTTTCTGACCACAGCCCATAGAACTGCCAGAGGGATGGTAGTCCAGCATAACTTTCCTTAGACAGCCCCTGGATATGCCACTCCTCTAGCAGAGCTCTAACTGAAGCTGGCATGAACCAGCTTAGATTCAGGGATTTGAAGAAGTGTGACCAAACTGCAGAACCAAACTTGCAATGAAGAGATGCCTGGAAGATTCTAGTTGCATATTGCAAAAACAGCACCTCCAATCTGACAGATTAAGACCTTTTTTCAGCAGCATTTCTTTGGACAAACACCTCTCCAGAGCTACCACCCATACAAAAAACTTGACTATTGGAGAAACCAAACTCCCCCAAATGGCCTGTCTGGGAAAAGGGGCTTCGGACCTTCCCACAAGAAAATTGTAGAAGGATTTGACTGTGAAATCTCCAGATTTTGACCATTTCCAAACTGTTGAATCTTGCTCCTGAAATTTATCTGTTGGTCTTGTAACAGAAAAAGAAAATCTGCCATCTGCGGAAATTCCCTGTCATTGAAACTTCTCCCAAGGGGAAGAACCCAGCATAGCCTACCTTCCTGGAACAACAGAGAATCAGCCACTAAGGCATCCTTATCTACAGCCACATTGTACAAGTCCGGGAACATCTCTTTTAGAGTGTTGTCACCAGCCCACTGGTCTACCCAGAACCTGGTTTTTCTTCCATCTCCCACTTTAAATTCTCTCAAGGGTAAAGTTTTAACTTCTTACATCTGGGTACATTTTTAGCATCTTATTAGAATTCACATAAATTTACATATCTAGCTACTTTGTATTGTTATGGTAAATCGTAATTTTGCTAAGAAGACATTATTACTCTAACCCTCCAAGTCAAAAGTTCTAGTCATAAGACTACTAGAATTTGATCAATTCCTAGTTAGTTCTCAGTTGGTTTTAGGATAGGAAAATGAGAGAAAGGGCTAGCAAATTCTCCCTCTTTGCCTATAAATACAATGCACCACTTTTTTTATAGAAAAGATAAAATGTTAGTTTTCTACTTTCAATCTTTGAGTGATTTCTATTCTAATTGTCATGGTGTCAGTTCCTTTAAGAAGCTATAAGGTGTTTTTTTTCCTAAATAACCTTGGTGTGGAATCCTGGGTTGCTTTTATCTTCTTTTTTTACAGGTCCATCTTGCACCAATTTTGTAACAAATCTGCATCTTGCATCAATGACTCAAACCCAAGAAAAAGTGTATATCCAAACAAAACAACCAAGTAATGAATGTCAAAATCTTATATATTATTACCAGTTGTGAGAAGTAATTCATTTCAGCAAATCAAAAATAAGAAATAATCAGAATCTGTTCTTACATAAAACACACTAAAAATAAGATACATAGTCAAAACTCAATGAATCAAGCATACCGTTAATATTCCACACTCTTATTGAACCATCTTTTGATGCTGTAATAATTTGTTCTGAATTTGAAGAAAAGCACAACCAAGTAACTGCACTCTGATCATCAACAAAAGAAATGACTGAAACATGAGAAGGGATTTGACGTTCAAAAAGTTATATACATCCATTTCCATACACAGACACAACGGACATACATTGTTGGCAATGGAAGAAGTAAGTCCAGGTAATGCTAGTTATGTAGTCTTTTAAACTCATAATGAAGAACATGATATTCAAGTCTATTCATGTTATAAAATGAGTTACTTAATTCCAATAAGAATTAAACAATGGACATCCAGAAAGATATTTTAAGGCAAAAATGACTTCAGCACTAAAAAAGAAGACAAACTACCATGGATCTTCTACTTGGAGGCAGAACTTCAAATATCTTGATCTTTTGTTCGAACACTCTTCCTGGCATATTAGAGAATGGAAACTTCTGGTTGGAGAATTGGTTCTCTCCTTCCCCTCTTATTAATATAATATGGTCTCTGACTCTTCACAAGTGGACACCTCGACTCAGATTTTTGACATTCTAGACAATAATGGTGTTTGGAACTAGGGTCCCATTGCCAACATCCTGGACACAAGGGTGCTAAGGGAAATTGAATCTTTGGGCCTCCAGATCTCGGTCGGACCAGACAAGGATATGGAAACCCAACTCTGATGGAAAGTTCAGCTGTAAAAGTGCTTGGAACATTTGTCGAACTCATCATACCCCTGTTTTCTGGA